AACCCCCCCCCCCCCCCCACAAGCCAGCATCGGACCATATCATGCTTTGGTACCATGTTAAACTGGGTCAAACTCACCTTAAAAGAATTCTGGAGGTAATGTTTACCTTAAACATTATAGTAGACTCGCACCCAATAAACAACCAATATTGGATGCTCAAAACATCCCATTGGTGATACCATGTTTAGTTGGGTCTAACTCATCCCAAAAGAATTTCCGAGAGATATGTTTTATCTCAGGCTCATGCAGTAGACTCCCACCCAATAAACAATCAATATGGGATACGTAGCACATACCTTGGGAATCTGTCGAACAATCTTATAGGACAGGGACCCATAATCAAGATCTTGTTTACAGATTCTTTATTTGCACTATAACATCGATATCCCGTTTTTGAAACAACCTATGAATGTAATGGTTTCTGGGATTTCATTTCACTATTCTTTCATTTCTTTGTAAGAAGGTGCCTATAAATAGAGAACCCATCTCAAGTTTTTTTCATGGATTTATGGTGTCAAGTTTGATTGACAATATAGATTCCATGACTACTACTGTAACATAGGTTGCATTAAGTTTTTGATGATGAACATTGATCTCCAATTAATTGCAATAAACAATTTTGCACTTAAGGGCCTTTTGTTATAGTGGAAAGTATTTACTTTTCATGGCAAGTATTTTGCTTTGTACCAATTTACTCTAGTTTCCAACATAACAACCATATATTGAGCTTAGATTTTAAAGTTGTCGGAGTGTTTTTCAGTTTTTATTACATTCCATTTAAAGTGAATGACAATGGGAGGGTGGGGAATTGAAGTGGGTTCCCATGGAAAATGGTATAGTTCTTGCCAAATCTTAAAATTTAATCATTTAAAATCGAGCCACTAATATTTCCACCAGAAGCACATCATTTGAAGATCTGGAAGTGACACACGTAATGGCATAATAAGCTTGTTTGAGCTTCTGTGGGGTCCTTGATTACTTCAGGGGAAATAAGGATTCGCCAATCATGCATGTATGAAGACATTGCTTCCGAAGGTGTTCTTTCCAAGAATCAGGCTCAAATCTAATTACCTTGTACAGCTTGTTTAGCTGTTTATCTCCAAAGATGCCTCACTTCAAAAGTATTCAGATTGCTTTTATGAGTGTAATGAATTCTGTGATTTGACTAGATATCAGGAGGCGGAGGAAGCGTACTTTAGGTTATCACAAAAAGCGCAGGAAACTATTGCCTTTTACCCCAACAGAAGATCCCGAGCAACGACTTGTTCAAATGGGAACTCTTGGTACTGCACTAACAGCCCTTCACATGGAATTTAGTAATGAGCTTACGTATGCTCCTAGCATGGCCCTTAGACATGCAAATCAGGCAAAGCTTGAGAATGATGGAATGCAGGTTTGCTTCAATTATTACTGTGAGTACTATTTGTGTGTGTGTTTAAATAAATGTCATACTTATATAAAATTTATTTTAGGTTCTCTCTAAAGAAGATACAGAAACCTTGGAACAGTGTAGATCTATGTGTAAAAGTGGGCTATGGCCTCCGCTAATAGTAAAATTTGATTCACGCGAAGGGTATTCGATCAGTTGTGAAAGATTTCGATCTGTCAATGCAATGCTCTCAAGTGTTATGATTAGCAGTGCAAGAGTGAGCTCTTATCTTGACATGGTTCTTGATTGGATGTTGCAGGTATACGGTAGAAGCAAATGCAGCTATCAAGGACATGACATTAATTGCAGAGTACACGGGAGATGTGGATTACATTAGAAACCGGCAAAATGATGATTGCGACAGCATGATGACTCTCCTTCTAGCAGCGGACCCCTCTAAAAGTCTCGTCATCTGCCCTGACAAACGCGGGAATATAGCGCGCTTTATCAATGGCATAAACAACCACACTTCGTAAGGCACACCTGACTATTCAGCCAATTTTCTTTTTGAGACTGACTATATCGTGGTATGTTGTTGTAGAGACTAATTAGACAGAAACAAGATTGAACGTAATTGGATGGGTGCAGGGTTGGTAGGAAGAAGCAGAATGTGAAGTGTGTGAGATACGATGTAAAGGGTGAATGCCGAGTCCTTTTGGTTGCCATTCGCGATATTGGCAAGGGGGAGAGGCTTTACTACGACTACAAGGGCTATGAGCACGAATACCCTACTCATCACTTCCTTTAGACTCTCCCCTTCATTTCTTTATTTATACATTTATGTTCATTCTCTCTTGCTCTCTAACTTATTGGTTTAGTATGGGATGACGATGTTGATGGCCGAGGATATGATGTAGCAGAGTTGTGAAGAGGGAAGGCAGAACAGTTTTGGAGAGTAAAGCTTAGGAGGGAAACTTTCATTAGACTCATGGCATTCAATGATACAGATACCTCTTTTCTTCTTCATCTTTTTTCCCCTTATTCTTAGTTTTAGGCTGCTAGTATCATATATAGTACATGCCATTTGGTTTCCATGAACATTTATCAAATGTTGTATGTACTTTGTTTATAGTGTGTGTGTGTGCGCGTGTGTGTGTATCCAGATTATATATAGTGATATTTACAGATTAACATGCGGATATGCTCCATTTCTCCAATTATACAGAATTTTGGTTCCAGATTTTTTATTCCAGGTCCAACTCCAAATTTGAACATAATCTATATATCTCAATTACAGGTGGACATGGGCCGGCCTCTTCATATTTGTCTGAATGCTCGGGCCATAATTAAGTGGGCTTGGGCAAAAATTTATACCTGTTGTTCTGGTCTTGGAATAAATAAATAAAAAAAACTCGTTTCATAAATCGGTCAGACATTCCTTTTGGGCGTGAGCTTGGCTTGGGTATGACTTTGAGCCTGTTTGGGATTAGCTTTAGCGATTAGCGTTAGCGTTTTGAAAAGGCTATCTACGGGCAGCATTTAGCGTTAGAGTTTTCAAAATAATCTGCACCGTTAAAATTTTATCCAAAACGCTGACGCTAAGCTCTAACGCTATTCCCAAACAAGCCCTTTAAGGGGGTGGTGAGGGGGAATGAGGAGTAGTGTAACATTAAATTTCATACATGAATATGAAATGTGCAAAACGATGTTTAATTAATTATTTTAGTCAGGAGAAATTTACTTAAATAGGACTAAAACATAATGATTTTCCCAATATAAGACCATATGTTTTTATTTCCCAATGTAAGATTTTTGGTCATTATCAAATAGACATTATTCAAGTAAATGTCTAGCATTACTGGACATTATATCTCCCATTAGGTCATTATTAAGTCCTATTTAGGGAATAAAAAAGTTTAAGTCCTACATTAGGAAAGTCATTATGTTTTAATCATATTTAGTGCAAATTTTACTTTGGGGAAAAGATTCATAAATGGTAAGAGATAATTTACATAATTTGGTCCAAATAGAAAATTGAAAAAAAACCATCTAAAAACTTATAAGTGGCAAGATTTATTTCTTTTTTGACTTATGAACAACTTACTCCGTATAAATTAGCTATCGGTAGGGAGAAACACATCATCACAAGCTTACAAATTACTCCCCGTCCTAAAGCATTCTTACCGTTTCTATTAACGGAGTATGAGATTTAACTGACTTTATTTTCAGTTTAATTTATTTTATTGTAGGTGCAAAATTTAAAAATAAAATTTATATATTTAAAAACTACATCAAAAATTGTAAAAATAATGGGCGAGACTATATTTTTCTACTCCTTCCGTCCCACTATATTCATCCACTTTTGACTTTTGGACTGTTCATCTAAGCACTTTGACTCATCAAATTCTCTCAATGTGTAAGCCTAAATATAGTCATGCGTGATTTTGTTATAATTTCTATAATTTTTTAATATACAAATTACAAGATAAAATGCATTAAAAAAGTGTATTGGATGGTGTGCAAAAATGAAAGTGGACAAATATAGTTGTCCCGGTAGGGCGTCCCAGAGTATTTGTCCACTTTCATTTTTACACACCATCCAATGCACTTCTTTAATCTATTTTATCTTGTATTTGTATATTAAAAAATTATAAAAATTATATATTAATAATCTATTTGTTAAGACAAATCAAACAAGATCACACATGACTATATTTAGGCTTACACATTGAGAGAATTTGATGAGTCAAAGTGCTTAGATAAACAATTTCAAAAGTCAAAAGTGAACAAAAACTGGGGACGGAGGGAGTAAGTTGTACTCCCTTGTAAGTAGCTAGGGGTCAAAAGAAAACCGACTCTCAATTTTTCACTGCAATCCCATCGTCCCATCGCAATAATTAACAATCATCACAATATCGACTGACACTCCAAACACTACTTAACATACGGCTCCTCTCTTTCTCTTTACAACGCGCGCACCTACATGGCTACCTAAAAACTCTTTCTTTGTTCCTCAAAAATTATTAAAATTATTACATCAAAAATTATTACAGTTTGATTCTTTTGAGTAAATTATATTCCGTGGTACTTTTTTTATCAAGAATTACATAAAAAAATATATCTAATTGTAATGTAAGTTGAGTATAATTTGACTTATTCTAAAACATAATATTGAAATATCAAATTTTTATACTCCGTAATATTTACGGAGTAATTATTTAGACTATATTTAGTTTGTAGTAAAAGAATGCCACGATTATTTGATCAAAAAAATCAAATTGTGACATTCTTTTAGTAACAGATGAAGTATTATATTGTATGTATGTGTAATACGATGAGTCTCATCTCCGAAAGTCTTATCAAACCTGCCCAGACATTCACCGAGAAGAGGTAAAATGAATATGATAGTATAATTTTTTTAAAAGCAAGCTGGTACATCAGGTGCATGCACTTTGGTTATCATTAAGTTACTCTATTTCACAATAACACAAAATGTTATTGTAAAATTTCAATCACTCCAAAAATTCAATTGCACGAGAATTTTGTGCCATAAGAATCATTATACTCCATATATCTGTCCCATAAAATTCTTCAGGTTTCAAAAAAAGTGTACCCTTAAACTAATTTTATTATTATTTTTCTAATTTTGCCTTACATTATACTTCATGTGTTCTTTAATGATTTACATAGTTTACTATTCAAAAATCACGGAAACTTTTATCTGTTTATGTGATTTCATTGAGTATTTGATGAAATAAAATGTTCTTGTCACCTCTTATTTTATTGAACTTTTGATGTATTTTTTAAATATGTAAATTTTAATATTTATTTAATTACTAATTTTTAAATAAAATAAATTCAAAAAACCCGAGGTTTTATTTCGTTTTGCATAAAAAAATGATTTAGGAACATAGAGATTGATAGGGTATGATAAGATGTGTAAGATGTCTATATATTTCAAGTAACCAACTCAACCACAAGCTCAAGCTTGTGGTTGTGGCGCAGGAATGATTATTATATACTCTAACAATATATTTTATCATATTTTATTTTTACCTATCATATCAAAAACAAAGTTGGAAAATCAATTACAAATACACACTCCTTATTTCTCCCATTAGTCAAATTAGAAACTGTTTTGCTGAATAAATGGTGTGTATGGTTAACTTGTGAGGTAATAATAATTGAAATTATAAAACATAAAAAACTCAAAATTTGTATTTTATGACATTATATGAATACGAATCGAATATTTGAATTTAATATCAAATCAAATACGAATAGTAAAAACTATTCGAATTAAAAACGAATGTGAATATATATAATGGCATCATTTAATTGATTCGATTTGTTCGTTTTATAAGGGACATGAGAGGTAGTGTATGGAATGAAGTAGCATGGTGATATAAAATTGGATAATGCTAGGGGTACACCAAAAGTGTACCCCAAACATCCCCACCCCCTCCATCACTACAAAAAAAAAAAGCAAGAAAAATTCAAAAAAAAAAATAAAAAATTAAAAACAAAATAAAATGACTGATAAAGAGAGAGGTGATGTACATTTGGGGTACACTTTTGGTGTACCCTAGCATGTCCATATAAAATTTTCTCAAGAACTTGAGGTCAAGCAGTGCAGATCGAGATTTTGGTTTGTTATGAGTTTTGGGAGAAAGGGTAGTACGTGAGGTATCATTATTTTCAGTGTAGCGAGCTATTTAGGTGTTCTTACGTTACTGTTTCTTTCCCGGGATGGAATCGCCCCCAACCTACTTTCTGACTTGCAATTGGATCCCCAATAACCTTTTTCTTTCTTTCTTTCTTTTTTAAAAAAATTAATTTATACCTTTGCTTCAAGATTTTATTAAAAATAAAAGAAAGCAAGAACGTTCTTTCTCGTTTTCACACTCAATGGCTAAAATTCATTTTTTAAATTGTACATGATTGGTCTTTTAAATTTCATAAGTTCATAATTAATCTTTCAAGTACACTTTATTTTGCTAGATGAGGTCTTTTTGACAATAAACATTAAAAGTTAAATGAAATACTATTCCATATAATACGAGTAAGCTAAATGGAATACTCTCATTTTCTTCTTAGCTTTTTTTCTTTAATTACATTGTGTTGAATTTTGGTCTATTTGGGTTTGCACTCTATCTTCTAATGAAAAAAATGGATGAAAATGAAATCTACGGAGTATCACTGTTTGACCGGGGCTTCATTCAAATACTCCCTCCAAAAAAAATGTCACTCTCTTTTCACTGAATTTAATAAACATTTTGAAAAATGAACCTCGTGTTTGGATAATAAAGTTTTACTCCCTAGAAAAAAGAAAACTAGGTAAAAGATACAAATTTCCAAAGAAGAAAATAGTTTGTTTTCTCACCTCATATTTGGATGTAGTACACTCTTTCTCCGTCCTAATTTTGATTAAAAGTTTTTCACTCTTTTTTCTTGATAATTTTTATTGATTTGTATATTTTCATTGATTGTTTGATAAAAAGATATTCTTATCACATCTTGTTTTGTGGAATTTTTTATGTAATTTTTTAATATGTAACTTTTATTTTTTATCGACGTATCAATTTGTAGATAAAATGATTTTTTAAAATAAGAAATATAGTACTCCCTCCGTTCCTTTAAATACTTCCACTTTTGACTTTTGGCAAAAATAAGGAAAGTGTAATTTGAGTTGACTTTCCAATTTTGCCCCTGATGTGATGGGTAAAAGTAAGATGTGATAGTTTGTTTATTAGGAAAAAAGTATGATGTGATAGGTAGGGTATGAAAAAGTAAGGGTAAAAGTGGTTTTTTAATAGAAAGTGGAAGTGTTTTAAGGAATTCAAAAAAAACGAAAGGGGAAGGGTTTAGTGAAACGGAGGGAGTATCATAATTCTAATTTTAATCAAATTTTGGGACAAAAGGAGTAGTACATTTTACCTTCCACCAAGTACGGAGTAATTAAGAAGAGAGATATGGGTAAATCTAAGTAATCAAATTTTGGGACAAAAGTGATCGATATGGGTATATAACTATACTCATTAAATGTTGTCAAAAAAGAATATAAGTAAATCTAAATTAATATTCTCCTTATTTTTTCATTTTAAATTTTCTTTCCACCTATTTTATCATTTCAAAACAGAAGTAAATGTCACTACCTTTGTCCCTTGAAATTTGAGAAGTACCAAGAATAAATCCTCGATAATAAAAATATACTTCATATAATTTCATAATTCCTATATGAGTTGCCTAAAAAATTTCATTTATTCTCCATTCATGCAAAAACAATAAATATCCTTACCATTTTTTTCACTCTACACAAATAACAAATTAACAATCATACAACTTGTACTTTAATAAAAATTGTGGCATGTTATATGAAAAAAACATGGGCAAAAAAAGTATTTTGAAAGATTGACAAATAAATCCAGAGTAAAACTTTTTTTTTCAATTTTAAATTTATGTATAAATATTCTAACCATATAGAGTAGTTTTTACAGCGTTTCTTTTATCATACTCAGCTCCCTCCGTCCAAAAAAATAAACTTCCCCTTTCGTTTTTTCTGTCCCCAAATAAACTTTTCTTTTCTCTTAAAAAACCTCTTTTACCCCTTACTTTTTAATACTCTACCTATCACATCATATCTTTTTACTAATAATCTGCATATCACATCAAGGGTATTTTTGGAAAGTCAACACAAAAATATCCCTTCCTTAAATCTTCAAAAAGTTAAAAAGAAAAGTTTATTTAGGGACGGAGGGAATATATTTTTATTAAATTCAGCCAAATTAAATCGAATTTATGTTACGAGATACTCCGTGTAAAATAATATTATTATAAAAATATGGGTGTACGACAGGGAAGGAAGCCGTTATGATTATTCCAATGCCACTTTAGTCAAACGCTATCGTAACAAACCAAACCCTCTTCTCTTTTTAAGGTCACATGATCAAATCATCATAATATATTTCCCTTATTTTTATTCACTCCCCCTCCAAATTGATTACTGAGTACAATTTTTAAAGGTATATACTTCAATAGTTTTCGTTTATTGATATATTTGTATTGATTATTTGATAAAATAAAATATTTAAAACGTAATTTTTTATTTATAAACTTTATTAATTATTTAATACCAATTTTTAAATAAATTAATTTTAAAAATTACAAGATTTTATCTCGTAAATAAAGAAATTATAATGTAAAATCAACTCCACTTCTCCACTCTATGTTCACCAAAACTCATCCAGTTTTGTTTTTGCGTATAAAATCTTATCTTTATAAAAATGATTTTACTTATAATTTTGTATAAAAATAAATAGTAAAGCTTACATACTATGTATTTAATTATATACAACATAAAAATTTTATAAAATAAATTATGATAAGAATATTTTATTTTATCAAATGACTAATAAAAAACACTCAATCAATGAAACAAAAGTTTTACTTTGTACTACGTGTATCATATCAAACATCTTTGAATAGTAAATAGGAAGAATTTTGGTGAAGGGACGGAAAGACTTAGTTTGAAAAATACTCCATGATCGTCACCATGTACTCATGATCAATCTACTAGCGAGGATATGTCATGACATAACAAATATTGTTGTTGTATACACACACCCACATTATTAAATACACTGCGCGCCTTAATAATTTAATGTTTTTTTTGTCTCCACCCAATAAATAAATACGTACGTACTCAATTTGAGCATATTGTTTGATTGGTAATTAATTAATAATTACTCCGTACTAATGAAGTGATCATCCTCGGTTACATACTTAAGTTAAACAATATTAATCGCCAATTACCTCGTGGTTGTTGTTGAGACACATGGGGCCAGCCGGCGGATCGCCGGTGAGCACATTCCCGGCGAAGGTGGAGTCGGGAGCGGGCCAATTTCCGACGGGAGGAGGAGGCGGTGGTGGGGGGACTTGGTGGTGGTGGCCGAACTGGAGGTGGCGGATATGGCGTTTCAAGAACTTGACGTAGCGGATGGCTTCGTCGAGCATGGAGGCGGTGTCCATCTTGGTGCCGCCGGGGACGAGGCGCTGGAGGATCCTGATCTTCTCGCTGATCCTCTCGCGGCGGAGCCTGGCGGCGACGCTCTGGGGGTCGTCGCTGATGCGGACGTTGCGGCGCTTGGGCTTGCGGATGGTGGCGGGGTCGATCTCCACCGGCTGCATCGCCGCAATCTTGAACATCATCTCCTTCACCGCGCCCAGCTCCTCCTCATCCTCCTCTTCTTCTTCCCCTTCTTCTTCTTGTTCTATATCTTGGTCATCATGGAAGGGGTGGGCCCCCATCCGGCCCAATTCGTTATTACCATCATTACTGCTACCTCCGGCGGCGGCGGCAGCAGCAGCCAGTAATAAACAAGGAGGAGCGGCAGGGGAGATCTGGGCATTATTATTATTATTACTATTAGTCGTCTGAAGTATTAGTGGAAAGTTAGCCCAGCTGGCTGATGATGATGGTGGTGTACTACTCACCATCTCCTCATGACCATGATGATGATGGTCATGATGATGATGATGGAAGGGAAACTTATTGAGATGGTGATGATGATGATGATGATCAGGAGGAGGAGAAGGCGGAGGAGGAGGTTCCATGGGCGGCGGCGGCGGCGGCGGCATGATGATGGGCCGTATGGGGGTGCTACGGCTACTGCTGGCTTCTCCTCCCCAACTAGGACTACTATTACTCCCACTAGCACCAGTACTGTTTAAGAACTTGTTGAGATTGTTGAGATCCATGGCTGATTAGTGATTGAAGTTTAATTAAGAATCTTAATTATACTCCAAAATATATAATATCAATAAAGCTTAATAATTAAAAGGGATTATTGATTATATTGATTGTTATTGAGAGCCGTGAGGTGTGTGATCTAGAAGTGGTACAATATTTATATACACTCATTCCGTTTCAGTGTATTTGTCAATTTAACTTTTTTAAAATAAACTACATGAGTTTTGAACTTCAATTAAAAAAAATTATAATGTTCGTTAGTATAAAAATAATTTTATTAGATTTATCTTGTTGAGAACTTTCATAGTTTTATTTCATTATACTAATTAATATCTAATATAATACAAATTAAAAGCAATTAAAGATCAAAATTTATCCAATTTGAGTCATAATTAAAGATCAAAATTTATCTCTAATAGAGCTATTACTCCCTTTGTTCCAATATGTAAATGAAATGAATTGAGAAAACTTAACATTTTACCTCGTGAATACAAGTGCGACAAATATTTAGGGAGGGAGTATAATTCATCATGTTATGTTAGTAGTACAGTGGGGGGATTTGATAAGCGGCGCAACCCAGCGCAGCTGCTAGCTTAGGCGTGGGATGTTTTAGCACAATAGTACGTGGTGTGTTTAATTAACCCCAGGCTTGATTTAATTGTTTCTAAACATGGCAATCAATCTAAACAAAGAGTACTTGTGCTCTTTTATTCTAAATTGTACTGTAAATTTTTCCCTTCCAAACTCCACCAATTCCTCTCCCCCTCTCCCTCAATTTTCCAACCACTACACGCAAACTAGACTTTACCCGATTCATACATGATCAAAATAATATTTACATAAATAAATCATTTATTTATGTAAACAATTAGTGAAATTTGCACTAAATATGACTAAAATATAATGACTTTCCTAATGTAGGACTTAAACTTTTTTATTCCCTAAATAGAACTTAATAATGACCCAGTGGAAGGAATAATGTCCAACAATGATGGACATTTAATTGAATAATGACTACTTGATAATGACCAAAGGTCCTATATTGGGAAATTAAAACATATGGTCCTATTTTGGGAAAGTCATTATGTTTTAGTCCTATTTAGGTAAATTTCTCTAAAAATTAATATGGATAAAAGTAATTTTTTGATAGAAATGAGAAATTTTTTTTGAAACGAATGAAAAAGGAAAAGAGAAAGACACGACGGAGGAAAATATTTTTTTATTTGAGGCCATTATTTTCTTTCTCCTAAATAATTAATTAGTCCGTAATAATCATGTTAGCCAGGCCATTATATATATTCATACCAAATCATACGTACTGTTGATCATATACTCCCACATGTCCTTAAAAATTTCATATTTTGAACCTAATTATATCCTAAAATTAACCTAATTATATCCTAAAATGAACCTAATTATATGGAATTTATGCAGAGTATTATAATTGAATATATTCTTTTCCACAATTTACGGTCAAAATATGTCACTGTTTAACCAAAAAATCAAAACAGAAAAGGTTTTTTTTGGGATAGAAGGGAGTATGTACTCACTCCATCCCAAAAACTCCTTCCCCTTTTCTTTTTTCTTGTCTCACAAATTCCATTCCTTTTCTATTAATTAGAAAATCACTTTTACACCTACTAATTTTTAACCTACATATCACATCATACATTTTTACTAATAATCTATCACATTTTATTTTTACCTATCACATCAACAGATATTTTTGGAAAGTAACCATAAAAATATTCTGATAGAATTTAGGACGGGGTAGTGATAACTGGATTGAACAATAAGACACCTGGGTTGAACCGCATTAAAAGATTGAATCCAATCAATTAGTTAGTTCAACTCAAGAGTTTATATACCGATTATTTTGCTCATGAACTTCCCATGTGTGATGACACTATAACATATTCATTCCTTAAGTTTCCTAAATGTTAAAGTGGAAACAATCTTAAGGAATTACTACATCCGTCCCAAAAAGATAGGGACATTTTGACTAAAGTGGTAAAATAAGGAGGGATATTTTAGTGTTGACTTTCTAAAAATATCCTTGATGTGATGGGTAAGAATAGAATGTGATAGGTAGATTATTAGGAAAAAGGTATCATGTGATAGATAGGGTATGAAAAAGTAAGGGGTAAAAATAGTTTTTTAATATAAATAGGATAGACTTTAAAGGACGCGATTTTTTCGAAACGGGTAAGACTTTTTAGGACGGAGGGAGTATAAAATACTCCCTCCGTCCGGAAATGTTCTTCCCGTGTTGACTTGGCACACTTATTAAGGAATAGTAAAAAAAATGCAAAATTTTCAAAAATTCACATACTATAAACTTTTAAATCTCCTTTTATTATTAAAAAAAGTATTAAAAAAGTA